AGACAAAACAGAAGAGGAAAATCCAGTTTTTATGAGTTGGTAGCTTGGTTCCTTACACTGATGATACATAGTGGTTGTGTTCATTTGTGACATCACACTCCAGTCCTTCTCCCCTCACAATCTTCATCTCAAACTAGGATTCCAGCTTGGTCACTCAACTACACTCCCAAACTTGCTACAACCCAACAGCTGCCTTCCTACTCAGCCCTATCAAACCCAACTCGACACTTCTTAAATTTTCAATGCCTCAGTCAAGTACCGACCCCCCTGCCTCTTTAAAATAGACTAAAAAAATACAGAACCATAAAGCAGCATTAATCTGATATTAAGCACACCCAAAATGAGAGGTACAATTGGAAGAGTGGAAACCACTTCACTTTTTTAAGAGTGGAGGGATGTAAGAACACTACTAGAAACCTCTGAATCAATTGACAGACATCTTGGTAACTGATACAGCTACAAAAGCCGGTGAGTAGACGTTCCTGTCTTCACCAGCACTTCAGAAGAAATGGAACCTTCTCGCAACCCATACATATGATCAAGCACTATGAGCAGCATTTTATCTAACTGAACAAATCAGTGTTGTTTGAAGATAAAGACTGAAGCTATGTATTGGTAATTTTTTTCTTATTTATTCTATAAATTGAACTACTCAGAAAAAAAGCTTTCACCAAGGACTACACAGTCAGGAGATTAGAGGCAGTTGCAGGGACTGGTAAAATATAATAAGCCATGCACATTGTTATAGCAGAAAATTCTAATGGGTAGCACTTTCTAACACCAGTTTGTAATTCCATAAAATGCAATTACACCACAGGCATTAATGGCTTTAATTGAACCAATTATGCTCCAAGAGGTAAAAGACTAAAAATACTTACGAAATTATATGAAGTCTTCAGTATAAATAACACTTGGGTGTTAACAAAATACTTGTGGGGAAACATATCACAGATGGTCAAACAATGTAGCACAGTGATATCCTACACAAACACTATCACTTGGGGATTTTTGTTTGTTTGTTTTTAAGTAGATTCTTGTTTAGAGTTCTGACTAGTGTATATTTGGGTCAAGGCCGAATGTTTCACTATTTATACATGATTTTTTCCTTCCCCAGAGAAAATGCTCCCTCCTTGACTCAGGGTTGAATTCAGACATTCAGAGAAAGGAAAAATTACAGATTTCTATTTTCCCCATGAACACCATTTGCAATAACAAGCCATGGCATGACAAAGTATTAAAAAGGGAATGTGACCAGAGGTCTCTTTCTTCCTAGTACTCCCTCAGTAAACTATGTCAGTCCATACTCCATGCTTAGGACATAACTAGGTCCTACCATCACATTTTAGGCATTACATCTTTAGAGAAGCCCTTTGTTCCCATCACAGCACTCATTCAGTGTTTCTCAAGGCATTATGAAAAAGAGAAAAAACAGTCAGCTGCCTAAAGCACAAAGTTACACTTTAAGAGAGGTTAAAGGAGACAGTCCTTGAAAGCAAAAAGAAAGTTTTCAAAACCTGAGGCAACATCATGATTCATTTCATCATGAATCGGGCAATTCTCAAGGTGAATCAGTATAATCACACTACTGATGAATCCGGGCTGATGTGGCTAAGGCCTGTCCATCCTTCAGCAATCCCCTCCCTCCGAGAAAAAGGAAAAACAAAACAAGGCTCAAAGAGGTCACACAGATATGGCCACCATCCTGAGGGTGAAGGAGCACAGCACAGGGCAGGAGAGGCAGATGTGAAACTCAGCAAGAGAGGCCTGCGCTTCTCAAAGCATAGACAGGCCTCTGGATAAAGCCATCTTCTTATTCCTGGCCTGTCTTCTCCTACCTATGGCACACAGGTAGGGCCTCAGAGATGAGTTTCCTCAGATTACGTATGAAAAAGCTAATCTGAGGAGGCATGGGTTGCTGATACCAATTTACAGTTTTAATCCAAAGGGACAGGTGGGAGGAGTGCCTAAAGAAAAGAATAAGCCAGGCTGTATTCCAAAGTACAGAGGGGGAAACAGATCAGAAGCAACAAAGTTGCACCAAGGGAAGCGCCACTATTTCAAAAAGAGTTTTTTCACAATGAGTGTAGCCAAACAAGAGAGAGGCTGCCCAAGGAACCACATCCCTAGAGACACAGCACAAGCCAACAAGATCCTGACCAATCCAATCCAACAACAGAAACGGCATGGCTTTGGCTGTGAGAATAGACCATCACTACCAAATTAGCTGTGCAATTATACAATAGCCAGGCATACACAGCTATAAAAAGTTTTCCACATAAAAATAACCAGCCATGCTAATACAGTGCTATGGATAGAAGAGCAGAAAAACTCAAGCCTAAAAGGCAAGTCAGCAACTTGCTGATGTCACTGCCAAGAATAAACCCCCAAGTCTTTTAGACAAAGGGATTAGTATTTCACATGTTTTTGCACAAGGCATAATATAAGGATCTTCACAGACCAGTGTTTAAAAAGCTTTGATTCTCAAGGATGCTTAATGCTCTGTCAGTCAACCAACTCTTAGCACAGTAGACACCACAGCACATATTCCTGGTTGCTTCATTACAGCCTTTTCCTACACTGGGTATGGTGTAGGAAACCAGATTCATTGAGTTACTTAACAACAGTCCAATATCACAGTGAAAGGTCACACACCCACCAGTTAAACACATCAGGACCCTTCAGCCTGGGATAAAGAGCACATAGCACCACACTGCTCAGGATTTCATGGGCAGTGCAGAGTTGTGCAGGGGTGTTCACCACCTCCCCCAGTACAGGAATTGAACATAAATAAGCAGATCTCACAAATTGAAGTCTCCAAAGAACTGGCTCCTTACACAAGCAGCAATTAGGCTGTAAAACTCCTTTCTCCTGGGCACTCTTGATGAAAGGCCTCCAGATAAAAATACACCTGAAGCTATTCAATACAGATTGAATCACAATTCATAGCATCTGGGATGAGCAACAAGCACTTTCCTGTGCTTACAACTCCTCCTCCTTGGCACTCTCTACCATCCACAAGATGCACTACTTGTTGGGCTTAAAACAAGACACCCGGTTTATCACAGGTTGCCACAAAAGTTTCCCTAAAGTTTTTAAACTTACACGTTTCCACAGTAACTCTATGGCAAGTGACCAGCTGGAATTTCAGAAGCCAGAAAGTGACAAGATACAGACGGGACCAGTTCAGTGCTCAAGGCGCATAAACCTGAGAAGTACATAAACATTTTGCAAACTCACTCTGTTCAGTATAGCTCTCCTATCTTCAGAAATACAAGTATCATTATCCACAGTCACCTAGATGGTAGGCACATTTGTGAAGCCCAAAAGTTTTAATGAATGGTTTTATTAAGAGCCAGCTCTGCCCACTTATTAATTCCTACACCCTGGCATCCCACTTAAAGAATTAGGTGTTTTACAGCACTGCATGCATGACTAGAAGCTTGTAAGAACGATTGTTTAAAACACTCAGTTGTTCTGTCATTAAGAGATTACTACATACTCTGCAAGTCATCCTAATAGATTACTTAATCCCTAATCCCATTTTATGAGATCTAGCCTTACCACTATTCAATACCAGAACCCCACAGGACACCTAGTAATGCTAAATGTAGAATACAGTAACAGAAAAAAAAAAAAAAAACAACACACACTTTGGGGGTGGGATGGGGAGGGAATCAAATTCCTTCTTGCATCCCTTCCACACACACAGACTTTTCCAGGCTTCTGGGATACAGGGCTTTGGGCAGTATTAAAACTGATTTGGTCATCAGAGGACTGCTAGTGAAACACAGCACAGTGGCATAAGAGCTCCCAGTTGCTCTTGTTCACTCGGCCGGTGAGGCTCCAGCAGATTTTCCAGGCCTGCAGCCTGGCTCTGCAGGACACAGGCCGCCTCTGCCCAAGCTGCTGCCGGCAAGCTCTCCCCCAGGCCCTGGCCAGAGTGTTGGTGTCACAGTTCCCATCAAGAGGCACAAAAAAAAAAAAAACGGATGCTCAGAACCGGCAACCTGGCACCAACCTAACGCATGCTCCGCTACTTCACCCGCTGCAGGTCTGCTGAACAGCTGAGCTTGCGGTTCGGGCTATCTCAAAACACACACCTGCAGGAAAATTCTCCAGAAAGACGAGATTCAGGAGCAGTTTCTTTAGGGATTACCACAGCTAGACTGAAAAACACTTTTATTAGTGACAGCAGCTCAACGCAGCACCCTCATGTACTGACTGCATGCAGCCTGGGGTCCCCAATACAGAAGAGCATTGACCTGTTCCAGCAAGCCCAGAGGAGGTTACCAAGTTGATCAAAGTGATGGAGTATCTCTCCTATGAGGAAAGGCTGAACTAGGATTGTTCAGCCTGGGAAAGAGAAAGCTTCAGGGTGACCTAATTATGGCGTTCCAGTACCTGAATGAAACTTACAGGAAAGGTGGAGAGGGACTATTTACAAGAGTGTGTAGTGACAGGACAAGGGGGAATTGATTCAAACTGAAAGAGAGTTTGTTTAGATTAGATATCAGAAAAAAAATTCTTTACTGCGAGGGCAGGGAAGCACTGGAACAGGTTGCCCGGGGAAGCTGTGGATGCCCCATCCCTGGAAGCGTTCGAGGCCAGACGGGATGTAAACTCCGAGCAACCCGGCCTTGAGGGGGGTAGGAGGGGTTGAAACAAGCTAATCTCTAAAGGTCTCCTCCAGCCCCGGCTATTCTGTGATTCCACGATTCTCGCAGGGAGTCCCCATCTGCGCCCCACGGGGCCCGGCTCTCCGGGGACCCATGGCCGCCCCCTCGGCGCGGCCGGGAGGGCCGGCGGGGACACCGCGGGGCGGGACCCGCCAGGCCGGCGGCCGAGGCCTCCCCGCAGCCCGAGAGGCCCCGGCGGGCCCCTCCAGCGGCTCCGCCCGCACCGGAAGGGCAGCGGAGCCGCCCCGGCCGAGGGGAGGGGACACCGGGGCGGGCGGGCAGACAGACGGACGGCTCTCGGCGGCGCTCCCCCCACGGCGGTACCTGCGCTGGAAGTCGGTCCGGAAGGGCGCCAGGTAGGGGTCCCGCTCCAGCAGCCGCTGCAGCTGCGGGGGCTCCTTGCCGGCGGCGGCCATGTCCCCGCCGCAGGGCCAGCCTGCTCCGCGCCGCCGATAAATACCCGCGGGGAGGGGGCCGGGACCGGGGCCGGGGCCGGGCCGGCCCTGCCGCTCCTGCCCATCCCCGCCCGGCGCCGCCTCCCAGCCCGGGGCCGCCCCGCCCCGCCCCGCCCCGCTCCGCCCGCCCTGCCGGGTTTGGCAGCCCCGGTGTCTCCGAGCGGGTGACACCAAGGGAAATGAACAAATGTGCTGTTAAAATAAATAAATAAACAAACATCCAAATAAATAAATAAACGACCAAACAAACAAACTAATAAAAGCATCTGCCCGATGCACCGCCCCTCGTAAGAGGAGGCGGGAGGGTGGTGGTGGTCCTGCTTGCCGCCAGTCTCCGCGGTTCCCCCCGGTTTATTTTCTTAGTGGCGCTTTGATGTGTGTGTTTGGTTTGTTGTTTTTTGAGTGTTTTTTTTTTTTTCAGCGTGTCAGCTGCAGGGTGAAATCTGCGTTCCCACGCACACACACAAAACCCTCCCCGCGGCCAACACCACCAGCAGCACCATCCCCAAAGTGATTTGGCATCATCGTGAGCCCTGGAATAAATTTCTCGGCCGGCCGTGCTCACGGACAGCTCGGCAGAAAAAGACTCAGGATGTCCGTGAGTTTATCTCATAAACACCCGTGTCCGTACAGCAAAAAATGTCTCTTTACCGGAGGCATAAAAAAAAATCACGGACAAAATAAGATTAATTCAACCGATCCCAGTGCAGCTCTAAATGCCGAGTAGCACAGGTAGATTGCTGTGGAAGTTTTTGACCCAATATCAGCATGTCTCGTGTTTTTGGATAGACCATTGAATATCCAAGGCAACTAATCACCAGCCTGACCGTGCCTCTAGGCCACCGTTGAGCACTTTTATTTAAGGTCCAGCAATTTTGCTTTGTTTAGATATGTAGTGAGAAAGTTTATTTAGAGGCCTCTTTTGAATGCTTTTCAGCCATGGTTTATAAACTTTTCAGCTCCTAGATACCTTACTCATTTCCACAACCATCCTCATAACTGTTATCCTCGGCTTGTAACTCATCCCCCCTATCCTGGCTTTCTCTGAATTTAAGTACTGCTTTCCCTTCCTGTCTGTCAGATAAATAACAGGACAGTGAGTGGTGAACAATTCATTTATTACTTTACCCAAAATTGGCTATAGTGAAAGTTTCTCTATTGATTTCTTTCCTCAACAGCGTGTGTATATTTAACTATGCTGTATTTCCTTCCTTGCAGCAGTTCCTATCTACACAGGCAAAAATCCAAGTATTTATGTCCTTTTTTCCTTGCAGGATGCAACAAGTATTCCCTGTCCTAGGAATATGTAGGGCAATACTGTTTGCTAGAGCAGTTGCCCAAGCAGTTTTGGTTTGCTTATTGTATGAAGTAGTATCTATGCTGTAGAACTACCTGTCATATTCAGCTCTGATAGATCAGGATTTCTTTTTTCTTTAGCGGCCACTGTTTCTTCAGTCTCACTGGAGCCTGAAAAACTGTTGTTAAAATTACCTGGGCTTATCAAAACTTTCTGCATGGCAGGGATTTCAGTGCAGGTGCTAAAACAAAGTTTAACAAGTCTTATCCATTTCGCTTCTTGCCTCATAATATGTACATCCTGTTCTTTTGCACCTCATTCATTTTACATCTCACCCTCATTCTCACAGTTACCTAGTTTAGCATACCAAAAGGAGGAGAGAAATTCCAGCTGATTATCAGCCAGGAAATTGTTGGGGTTTGATGGTTTTTTTTGTTTTGTTCTGTTGTGTTGGTTTTTTTTTCCAGTAGTTGCATATTACCTGTGCTGCTGCTTTGGAGCTTCTGGGTGTTTGGTACTGGTGATGTCACCTGCTGTTGAAGTGGAGGTAGGAGAGCAATTCCTGCAGTCTTTGTGTGCACAAGTGCTGGAAACAGGAGCTTCACTCTTAGCATAGTCTCTTTGGTTTTATTAATTGTCAGGAAGCAGGTCCACAACAGTGTTATCAGCTGTTTGGCCTAAACACAAGAGAGAGATTTATAAATTAGCAATTTGTGCAGGAATTTAGCTGTGACTTGCACCTCCCTGAAGACAGGGACCCCTTTTTAACATTTATTTGGAAGTTTTTAAGTAGATTTGATGTAGTATCCAGCCTCATATCCAAGAAAAAGTTGTAAATGAGGAAGTTAAACTCTGCAAATAGCCCCTGCCCCTATAATAGACAAAACCCAAATGCTATATTTATTCATATAATATATCCATATTATATGAACTGGAAAATGGATAACCATACAGTTTGTGTCTACTCCTGTTGCATTTTACAACTTGGTCATGATTTTATCTACCTGCTTTATCAAAAGTAACTCAAAGACACTAAGGCATATATTATTGTGATCATCTATTACACCATGAACCTGTTGAGACTCAAAGGCTGAGGCTGACTCTCAGAACACTGCCCTTTGGTCCTCTACCTGGAGGCAAAAACAGCAGTTCAGGCAATTAATGTTGTCCCAACAGCTGAGTGTGTCTTTGTGCATTTGTCAGAGATGGATACAAAGCTGCCAGCTGCTGCTGTCAGTAGAAATAGGAAGAGGAGGACTGCTGGATATCACTGCTCTTTTGTGGGGACAGCAGTGGGTCATATAGGAGTGGTGTCTAAGGCGTGTGTCTGGCACCCAGTTACCAGCAGGGCTGGAGTTTATCAGTTATTCTAAACGAGCCTTTCAAAGGATAATCATGCTTAAGTTATGTATGCTTTTGCATATAAAATTTTGCATAACAATACTGAGCAGTTGATGTATAGTTACAATTATTATAACATCAATTTAGGTGAATATGAAAAGTTCAAACAGAAATCAGAGGTTTGGATTAAAAGCCACTGAAGATCTTGAAAGCATTGAAGAGAAAAATGTCTACCCCTGTCAAGCAATACCTCCATTTTGATACACTAATATTTTGCACTTACTTTGCAAAAGATGACAGAGATGCTGAACTTGAGAAAAGAAAGTTAGGAAAAAATCCATTTTTTTTCACTAAGGCACTGATTCAGATTATCCCTCATAAGTAATGTCTGTTCATATCTCAGCCAGAATGGATCTGTGCAGTATCTGGCCTTGACTGGCTCTTGCAGAGCCAGTTCCTGAGCTCCAGGTTCTTCTAAACCAAGTGGCTTTCGAGCAGCCCTGGTCCCTGGTCCTGGCCTGGCTCTGTAAGATGCTTCCAAGCCTGTCAGAGCCATCTTTGGTGCACAGGCTTCTGCTCTGCAGCTGTCATGGATGACTGCTAATTTATAGACTGCCCAATCCCACGGTTCAATCCGTCTGAGAAGAGATAGCGGGTACCAAAGACAGCAGGCTATTTTTTAACTCTTGTATTGAGAACATTTAAGAATTGCTAATCTCTCAAAGTGACAAGTTACAAGGCATGTCCTTTGTATGTTTAAATTCAATACTTAAAAGCTATATCAAAGATTTGTCATCATTTCAGTCTAGGCAGTACTCCTCCCACCTCCTTTTCCTGAAAGTCTTTTAACAGGTAGTTATGATTGGCCCACTTTGCTTGCTTGCTTGCAAGGAGATAAATGCACTTTTTTATTGTCATTGCACATTTCTTAAAGGTGTCTTAAAGACGAGAGGTAGTCCATGAGAAACAGGAACACAAACTATCACTTGTGCCTATACTTTATCTCACAGTGTGCACTATCAAGAAAAAGTGTTCCTGTGGACAGAAACAGCTGTTCAAAAAGATTCATGTTTCAGTATTCCAGAAGAATCGATTCCTGAAGGATCCCCCGTGTGCTTTATATAGGTGTCAAACATCTGAGCCTGTTTTGGTACACATTGCAGCTTCCCACTTCTGGACTGGCTTCTACACATTCAGCACATAACACAAAATGGAGTTCAGAATTTGAAAGATAATTAGCTCATTTTGCCACATTGGCCAGCCATACTTCTCCCTGTTATTTGTTCAAGGATCCATAAGAAATTAATTGTGCTGTTGTCATCCAGATCCAATGCAAATGCTCCCCTTAAAAAAAAAAAAAAAAATTAGTATTCTTTATCTTGATAGTCTTCCCAGACACATCAAACATTGGTCATGGGGATTTAGCTCATTGCAGGGGTGTTGGAGTAGGTGACCTTTGGAAGTCCCCTCCAACCCAAACTATTCTATGATCCTATGACACTTATCCCTATCTTTGGGTTCGCCAAGGTGAGACACATTGGAGAAAAGGAATGGCCAGTGTTGCACAGCTGCTGCCAAACATCACGTCACAGTTCCATAATTAACACTGTACTACAAGCAAAGAGTCAACTGTCAGATTACACAGGGACAACAAAGCACATATCCTTGAAAATTGCAGCAAACGTTCCAATCATCTATTGGTATATCTGTTAATTAATTTATAAGTTGGGGTTTCATAAGAAATGTAAGGTATTGATACTATATTTTAAGGTCTTACCTTAGCCCTGTCATGGTGTCAGGAGCTTTTTGTAACAATATGTTTTCAAACATCCAAACTAAAGTACAATTGGAAATACTAAAAAGACAGATTCAGTGTTGTGAAATTCCAGTAAGCATAGTTGATAGGAATGCCATTTTCACTTACTATTCTATGTAAAATTAAAAAAAAAAAAATTCCAACAACCTGAAAGTCCTAAAAAATGATTGCTTTCACAATATTACAGTGTTATTATGATTTGGTATCCTTATTTTATATAAGAGAATAACAAAAAATGTAAATATCTTTCAAAGATTTTTACACATTAATCAAGACACTTCAAAAAGTGTGATACCAATTTAAAAATATCAGCAGATGTAGAAAATATTTGTTGTGAAAATGCCTGAGTCTTACTAAAAAATCAAGCAAGAATTTGCGAAACATTTCACAGACACAAAATACAATATTTTTGGGATGTTTTATATACCCTGTTATTTGTATGCCTTCTAAATCTATTTCTCAAAAGTAATTACTGCCAATAGTAGCAACCTTCTACAACTCCCAGTTCTTCTGTGTATTGGTGTTTGCATCTGTGTTTATGTTTGGGGAGGAAGAACAAAAAACTTTCAGACTTTCTCCTTAATTCCATACCCCCAATACTTGGCAGTGTATTACCAATGTGTGTTTAACACTTAAAAAAATGAGTAGCTTGAGCTCTCCGGGGATAGTTGTCCCAGAGGAACATTCTTGCTATTGTTGCAGTGGGATTCTGTAACAATATATTACTCTTAAACAAGCGTAGCCAAACATTGCGTGCTTTGTATACAATACGCTTAGAATTAAGAATGAAATACCACAGCTTGTTGTTCATTGTCAGGTCTTTCCTAAAATCCCAGAGAAATGATAGTACCTAGGGCGTTTCCCGAAGGCTGGCTGCACAGTCTCACATTCCTGCCTGAAGCACTACAGACATTGAGGCTGCCCGGCCTTTTACTCAGACAAGAAAGTGAGGTTGCCAGATAATCGCTCAGAGGGTAACACATCTAATCCTTCGGGAGGTCAGGTGAGGTGAGGAGAAAGGAGGAGGTGCACAATGCTAATGCTCTGACAGCTCTGTCAATAGAAATTCATTAGTAGGTGTAGAAATAACTATTTTAGTTTTCAAAAAGCAGAATAACTACCTAAGTTGCCGTTCATGTGTTTGTGGGCTGAGCTCACTGCTGGAAAAAACAGGTGAATCTGGTGCAAACTGTGTGTGAAGGGCAGAACTCTGGAAAGTTCAAAATCCTTTCCACAGACAGTCTATTAGATCTTGACAGCATTAGTTCTGGTTTACTTTTCAGTGGCAGTCGGTGGCAGTTGACCCAGTCGGTTCTCCGGTGCAACCAGTAAAGTTTTGAATTAACAGAAAGATGGGACAGTTCTTTAGTGCTACGCTCAAAATCTTGCTCTATCAGAAGAGTACACCGTACATGGAACTAAGAATTTGCTGTTAGTCCAGTGAATATTTAACAGTTTCATTATCCAAGAGATCTGATTAACTTGGGGGGTGCAGGGGGATGTGGGGGAGAAACCAAAAAAGCAAAATAATAGTGCAGTTTAACTTGTTATACAGACAAAATTTTAGCACTATCATATTTTCCTGTGTGGTCTTTGGTGATGGTAGCACTTTAGGGTCTGAGGGTACAGTGATGCCCAACCACTGAGCAACCTCTGAGCAACTAAAATTACAACTACAGGATATGAAATTCATGTTTCTGTAGATGTGGGGGACCGTAGTCTTACTTTTAAAGTAATGGTGTAATTTGCACCTTTATATTGCATAGGTGCCTGTCACTGGGCATGCCACACACTCTGAGATAGTGCACAGTTATTTCTGAATGGATATGAACACAACTGGACCCTCCACAGGTAATGGTACAATGAGAGGAGCTATTTCATGCTTACAACCTGATCAAATTCTGACCTAAGCAATTGTCAAAACATGGAAAACTATTATGCTTACATATGTAATGCATGTTGTGAGCCACTGTTTTTCTGGAATCTGCCTAAAGAGACCATGAAGAACATCAGTGCTGTTCAGTAATCCACCTTCATAAATGTATATCTCTCATCTCAGAAATGCTATAAATCTCCACAGTTACCTGAATTAGTTGAATAATCATGCAAAGCTGTGCATTATAAATTTAACTCACTTTTCCACACCCTATCAGCCTAGGGTCCCATGATTTCCACTATTTGCTACATGTCTTAAAATACCCCCAAGTACAATAACTGAAGGTGCAGTCTTCAGAATCCCAGTGCTACAGACCTCTTCTTACAGATGTGCAATCCATTGCCATAGGTGACTGTATTGTATTCAATGCAGCTTTCCACAGGAAATATTTTGTACCTGGGTGATTCACCTTTTCTTCTTAGAACGCTCAAAATTCTGTATTTTTAAAAATACAGAAAGCTTCATCCAAGACAAACACATACACACAGACATTTTTGTTAGGAACATCGATATTCATGGATTAGTAAGAACTAATCTGTCTTCACACCAAGAAACAGGTTTTCTCTTGCTTAGAGATAAATCCTTTAGGTTGGATTCTTTGTCTTCTATTACCCAGGTTTATATCATGCTCTTGTTTTTAAAATCAGCCATAGCATTTGAGTTAAAAGTAGCATGGCTTCCAGTTTTCCTGTATGTATGTAGCTTAATAAAATTATGCAGTAAAGAAAACTAAGTCATATGCAGCTTAGAGTGTGAATACATTAGGAAGGGATTGTTTACACTGTGCTGTGGAAACTAAAATGAGCAAATATTTTTAATAGTTATCTAAGTCAGCCAGGCTAAAGCATTTCCCTCAGTATGAGTTTCTGAGGATATCCAGGATTATTAGCTGCGTTTCTGTTTCGTGAATACTTTAAATTGAAGTACATACTACTGCAAGAACTACTTAGTAGGAAAATTTACTTCATATTATTAGATACCTTTATTAATCCTCCACCCATTTTTGTTTTGATTTGATTCCAGCTCTTCTTTGTGACAAACAGCTTTTAATCCAAATAGCAATCTCCACTTGTAAGATATTAATTACCATCATGTGTTATATGGATAACTTGGTTTTCCAAGTTAATGCAACCCCAGTTCCATTAATTTAAGCACAAATGGATCTCAGTCAGTTTTCCTCAGTTCAAAACACTCTTCCTTTTTGATATCTCTTTGCACCTTCTATTTATCTCTCAAAATTCTCTCTGGATATCTGCTTGAATATCCAGCTTCTTTGTTTCTTAGCACTTCATTCTCCTCCTCTGCCCACTTGACCAGAATAGCCCTCTGAATTGTGCAGGTCACAGCCTGTGCCAGGTGTTCAATCTTTTTGCATCATGTTATCTTCTCAGGCAGCATCCAGGCTTGTCCCATAGTTCCACCAGGACAGCAGGCTATCCCCAAGGATCAGGCTGTTCTTTGGTGTCTGTAAGGGTGAGGCATAAGCAATCAATTCACGGTTTTCCTATGGTGTTTCCATGTGTGTTTGTTCTGGGTCTCACTGTTTCCTTACTATAGTATTTCCAACCACTGCATATGCACATGGGCTACTTTTCCTCTTCTGTTCACTTTTTCATCCTTTTTTTGCCACTTCTACCAAAGAAGAATATTTTACAGTAAATGCTGACCAAAAAAAAAAAAAAAAAAAAAGTAGTTTTTACAGCTACTGAGCCATGCGTTCTCATTTTTGTTTGTTTGTTAGTTTTTCTTGTTTACCAAACTAAATGCATTTTTTTTTTCCAGGACATCCACTACAAGGTCTTAAAATGCACTCTAGTCCTAATTCAAGGCCTGTCTATCTCTACTATGCACAAAACTTTGAACAGAAGCTGACAACTTTTTCTGCTTCTGATAGGTCTTTGCTTTCTTTTGGCTTGTGATCAATTACCAGATGATACAATCTCCCAAATTCTGGCCCTCCTTTTAAAGCTCATACCTTGTTACACACCCACAAAACATAGGCAGTTGCTGCTGCAGCAAACAGCTGATTTGGACAAATCCGTTCCTCAAAGGCTTAGTCCCTGCTGGATATGCCATTCCCTCAGCTCAGCCGTTTCTTCCAGAAAGGAGAAGAGGACAGATGTTTCTAGGAGCAGAGAGGACATGTCAAGTGAGTGGTCAGATTTGGTTTTCCCCTTCCTTGATTCCCCTGTCAGTGTATCTGGGTTTGTCCTTTACATGTAAGACATAATAAAACCACTCTTTACTCAGCTGGGTCTGGAGAAAGGAGCAGAGACAGATCTCTGATCACATAGGACTATTATTGGAGGTTTTTAAAGCAACTATTAGCAAACTTTGGGCTTCCATTCAGTGTCCACCTATCACCAGCTTGCTCTGACTGCTTTCTATTTACTCCTCTTCCTCTCAGATTTTCAGCAAACTAGCACTGTCCATCACGAAGACTGCCACTTAGCCAGGCAAAGTTTGCCTGGAGTGAGTCACAGCCAGATCATAGAGTGATGTAACTACTGTTTCTCTGCTTTCCTTGGATCATTAATGATCCTGAAGTACTTGGGTTGCCCAAAATTCATCTACTTCACAACAAATGAGATAGCTGCCTGAACACAGGACAGCACACCTGCTGTATTCATTCCCAGTTTTCTGTGATGACTGAGGACTTCCGCCCACAAAAGTTTTGGCAGAGGCTTGGTTGCTCACCAACATACTGAAAGTGATCACAGACAGGTTTGCCCCTTTTTTTCACTGACTTGTTACACTCAAAATCTTATGTACCACACCATGTACACAGTGATAAGAGTTTACTGCTAGTCCAGTAAATATTCTAACAGTCTAAATTATCTGATTAATGCAGAAAAGCCTTACTTTTCTGATGCTGTAGTCACCTTTCCGCAGTGTGCCTCTAGGTCCTGAGCTTGGCAGTCTTCCTGATGCAGATGAGAGAGGGGGCTTGCTTTAGGACAAGTCTTCAGCTCCTGAGGTCTTGATGAGAAGAACAATGATGTTCCTGTTGCAGGGTTCTAATTCCTCAGTCTTGGGTACGTTTGGGTTTATTTTTAAACTTTTTCCTTGCGCCATCTGCTTCCATCTCACTGATTCGCAGCTAGTTCCAATATTATACAATATCTTTACTCTAGGGCTCTCAGGAGATATCTGCCATCCTCTGCAATTTTACTCCACTATTATACAAACATTTGCTCCACTAAAATCAGTAGTTTCAGCAAAATAAAACTGCAATTCTTAGAGGAGAATCCAAGTGACAGGTAAGAGACAGGTTGATTTTTCAAATTGGCAGTAGTTTTGCTGAAGTGCACCGTCAGCAAAGCCATCTAAAACTGGAGGTCATTGCATTGTTGAGTTCAAATTTTTCATTTAGCTACTCTGTTAAAGCATCTATAAATGGAAGACATCACGAATATTTATGATGTTGCAGTATAAAAGTCTGCTTTACAGCCTGTCTGAAATTTAGTAGTTTGTCAATATAGAATATAGAAAAATTAAGCCCAGTAACTCTTCCAGTTTGTTCTGGTTTTGTGCAATTTGCCAAATTTATGTTAAAATCCCAACAGACATTACAAAAAGCCTCATCTCTATGACTGCTAAGGCCATGAGCAAATGTGGTAGTTGTGCATTACTCTATTACATTAGCCAATTGTTGATAAATATGCTGTAGAAATACTGAAATATTTAAAATGCTCTGTTCTGGGGAAAATTAACAACTATTTTTATGTCGTCCTTTATTCCAGTTTTTTTTTTTCCTCAAAGAATTTAGAATATTAATAATTGTGGAAGGATAAATGATAATTATAATGTAGTTTTTTAGAATATTTATTATTTTTTTATTATATTATAGATTTTTAATATATTGTTTACTACATAGATTGATATAGATATAAATTTTTGCTTTAACATCAACCTTCTATAAATTTAACATTTTTTCAAACAGTGATACAGTTCACTGTCTCTGGGCAGTCAGGTTGATAGTAGTCAAATAGTAGCCATAATACTGCACTATAGCAGGAATAGTATATTATAAAGTAAAAATCTTTTCAAAAGTGTTTCATGTCTTACTGCCATTAAAGCTTAGTCTCATAAATCACACCAAGTACTCTTCTGACATATTTCTGTTGGTCATTGTCTGGTTCCTTTATCATTTACAGTTAAGGCATTAATTTATGCAAATAAAGAGATTTCTTCATTCATAAGCTAATTGTCCACACTGCTAGAATTCTTTGTTCTATTTCCTCCTTCTGTTGTTTCAGTTGCACACAGGTAAAATACTGAATTACTTTACAAATTCATGATTTATCTTTTGCTTCTTGACCTATGCACTCCTTCAGCTCTCTCCTCAGCAACTCCTGTGTTGTCATCTGATTCAACACATGCACAAGAAAAACATACAGAGGGAGCTGAGTCATGCTCTAAATTGGGACCATCATCCTCTGAACACAAAAAACATTCCTCTGCAGCACTTAAGGGCAAGTATTTCCTCTGTGATTTTACATATGATGTTTTAGCCTCTCTTCCTTTAAATTACTTGTGTGTCTACCTGAAAAGCACATAATTTAGCTGTAGCCACCAAAATTTTCTTCGTATCTCTATCATTTGTGTTACACAACGCCGAAAACTTATTTATCCTTCTCGCTCCTATGTTCTATTTCCTTTGGGTTTTTGTCATTTCAAAATAGACTCACATCTTCACTGGCTTGTTTTTCATACATACATGTAATTTCTGTGAGCTGTGACTACTTTGCTGTCATTCAGGAACCCTCGAGTCTCAAGGAACATAACCTGCTGTACAATCACATTGTTATTCCAATCATTCCATTAAAAGATGATCACAGTGAATATCAATCTGACTTAAGTCACATATAAATGACTGACTAATGAGGACACACAGTAGAGACCCTGAAAGGGAGGAAAAAGCAAGACCAAGTGTTCACGTCTTATTATTTTCTTAGCACTATAAAATACCTCACATGTTCTTTGCATTTTTAAATGAATGGACTTGCTTTCAGTTTTGTCTCTGTGCCTGACAAAAATGTATGCTCTTGTAGTTTGAAATCACTCTAACACTACTAAAAGTGATTAGAACTATGATTTTTTTTTCATGTTTATATCCAAGTTACTTGCTGCTCCGAATAAGATTTACAGGAAGACTTTGTAAGAGCTCTGTATATGACTTGTGTTACATTGCTTGAAATAGAACTTTTCAGCACATTTCTCCAATATGATTCTTGTCATGCTTGTATATTTACCTTTTGCCTACCCTAGGGGCTTTTTTTTTGTTTAATGCTGTTTATTTCTTCTCCTTCTTTTTTAACAGTAAGTCATGTGGCATTGATACCCTTAAGGAATTTAAAGTTACGAGGAAGAAAACTGAGCCACATGTCGATGGATGAGATTGGCTTTATGGTTTCTTCATGATCTCATTGCATGTTGGTGAAGGGACAGGACTGTGAAATATGAGATGCCTGTGTCATCAAAATAGGTCCCTGGTATTGCAAGGAGTTGCACAAGGAGCCATTCCTTTTCTGCAAAATGAAGCATGAGCATTCATAACTGTAAAAACTAAAACCACTGCCATTATGTTTCCTGTTTTTCTTATTTCCCTTTTATAACATGAAGTATAGATATTCCTATTAACAATTAAAAAAAAATAATAAAAATCCAATACAAGCTATCACCTGTTGTCTCTGTTTTTCTTAAGTCTAGAAATGTTTTGCAAATTTAACTTAGAACATTAGTCAATTGGTTTTTCATCTTTAGAATAAACTGAAGTATTTCAGCTTTTAGTGTCTGTCCTTGTTCACATGATTTCGTTTGTATGTTAGGGATCAATTTTTCAGAAACATCAAAACCTCTTTCAACACTGACACAGCAGGGAACTGAGGTGGGTTCTGTTGTGTTTCTGTAGAAAATGAAATTCATTTTATTACCTATTCAATACTGAGAAACATGAAAACAAGCATTTTTCTAAATTTGAATCAGGTACATTGTGTCTTTCAGGTTAATGTATTTTAAGTACTGCTTTGAGTCAAGTTTGCACATTAACTGAATGAGGTTTGATTAGTTGTATTCTTTTCATTCTTTTCAAGGAAAGTCCTTTGCATTGTATATTAGCCCTATTACTAAAAAGTATAAAATCTTCTCTGATAGCTTTCCATTGTGCTACAGAAGATTCAACAAAGCCTTTAATTTCTTTTGTCTTACATTGTAGACCGGGGTAGTTAAGGGGCAAAAAGAGTCTGCCTGTAAATACAATACTGTCATTCATCGTTAGAGAAAACATGCAGAGGTTATAGCTGTGTGAGCTATTTAAAAATCAAAAGCAGCACAGTCGGAGTGTAGTTGTGTTTGGAATAGCAGTACATAAAAGTTATCCCTCAAGAAACACATCGTTCTAAAGGGTAACCAAATATAATTATTTCATGTGGTGCCACATAATTGAGATGACTTGGAATTCCCCCGCTTGTAACACTTTTGATCTGTCAGTTAAAGTTTGACAGGGTAAGGTTAAATCTCCTTCTCCTATCATGGGTTAGAAAATACTTCTGGTGCTAAGAATAGCTCATTACATGTGGATGGAAAGCCTCCTTTTCTAATGTACATTTTAATTACCATAACCCTCATGAATTTATCTTCGCTGGCAGAATATCATACCTTGCTACTGTACCTAAGAAACTTGAGTTTCTTGTTGATTAAAACTGTCACTCACCCGGAATAACTATGCTCAAGAAAGTAAAAACTTGGGAAGTGGAGCAAGATTTTTTTTTAAAATATGCATTTCTGTTCTAAGGAAATCAGCTTTCTTTTTAGAGAGAATCTGAATTGAACACAGGACTTTTGAGTCAGTGAGCTCAGGTGATACAATCCACTGGTCTTTTGGACCTCATGTTCCCTCTGCTGAATCTTAGAACTTTGAGTGATGCCAGGGACGTCTGTGGGCTGGAGGCAGAGGCAAAACACTCCTTTCTTCCTACAGTACACATGAAAAACTCTTGGTAAGGAAGAAGGGCTGGAGAATATGTACATCACCAGGCCTGTACGTACGTCACTGGATCTGTGCCCCTCTGTTTCCACAGGAGCGCCCTTACCTTTTTGCATGTTCTCTGTCCCAGCACAAGGAAAATCACAGTTTGAGATGTGTGCTACAGGGCCTTCTTCTGTCCAATCTACAATGATTTTTTTTTTGACTCACCTCCCAGAGTGCAGTGCAGGGTGAGGAAAAATATCACAGAATGGGTCAGGTTGGAAGGGACCACAGTGGGTCGTGTGGCCCAACCTCCCTGCTCAAGCAGAGTGATCCCAGAGCATATTGCACAGGGTTGCATCCAGACTGTTCTTGAACACAATGTATAGGATTGCACCCAGAGTGTTCTTCAATATCTCCAGTGAGGGAGACTCCACATCCTCTCTGGACAATCTCTTCCAGTGCGTGGTCACCTGCATAGTAAAAAAGTTCTTCATCTGCATCAGTTCTTGCCCATTGCCTCTTGTCCTATTATTTGGCACCACTGGGAAGGGCCTGGCTCCATCCTCTTGGCACCTCCAAATATAACCCTAAAAAAATTAGTATCATATGCAGCCTTGTTTGACTTTCCTTTCAGCTGCTGAAATAAGATACTGATTTTCTCTAGGTGTGTGTAGATGGATGTCTGGAGCTCGTGAACCACCAAATGGGGGACTTGTGGGATAACTGTCAGAGTTGCAAGGCAAACAAGAAGCTGCAGAGCACTGGGTAGTGACAGTGCTTGTCTAAAATTCAGTTAAGGATCCACTGTTCTTAATGAGAAAGGCAATCCATCTGCAGAGTTTCCAATAGAACGGGCATCTCCATCACATATGTCATCATCACAAAGTGACAAAGTATAGAAGAAAGATCTCAGTACACCTTCAAAGCACATGGCACTAGAGGACAAACTGCCAAATAAAATTTGCCCTCTCTTATTAGGGCTTGGCTAATTTTTTAGCAGAAAACTAACAACTATTATATAATTATTTAAATACTTAACTGTGTCCACTCTGGGATTTGAAAGCATTAATTCTTTTAGAAACTTTTTCCCCAGTTGTTTAAACTCTTTTCTGTGAATTTGAAATCTTGTCTGTGCATTATTTTTGATCTGTAAGTAATCCCCAGCTAATCCTAAAATGACCTGAGTTGGAAGGGACTTGAATAATCTGAGATTAGAGCTCATATCTGGAAAACTGAGTGCCTTTGTTTCAACTGAACTGCGTGATATTCCTGTTACCTGTGGATATTCAGCACACCACCACTGCTCGACATTTTGGCTTGACTAGTTCAGATGCTGTTTTGAGTTATTTTTCTCTGATAGTCATTTAAATTTTTTTGTTTATGTAAGGCTGTGATCATCAAAACCCAAAAGGTACGTCAAATTACTGAGCGTGTTCTTTTACCAATCTGACAAAATATCCCCAGAAATGTTTTTAAGCATTCACTGACTGGCAGACAGCAGTGCCTTTATATCCAGTAGCACTGTCTCCCATGGGATCAGAACAGTTGCTGGACCTTGCCTCTGCCTAATCTCCTCAGCCCACAGTCTCTCTGAGTGACAGGGCTCTGCCCACACATTGCCGTAGCAGAACTCCCCTGAGACGCTCCCCTTTGAACCTGCTGAGCCTACGGCATCCCATATTCTCCATTTCTGAATAGAAATCTCCTTCTCATAAGTTCTTCCCCTTAAATGTCTGGATTTCAGTATGTTTAATTCCTCTTAGTCTGAGTGTCTTACACCTACCAGTTTTTGTTGGAGCCCAAAGAGGCATCTCTTTGTTTCCAAACTCATTAACACAGCAAGCCAAGGGATGATTTGCCTCTGTGTGGCACTTCTCTCCAGCCTGCAATGAGTTGCACTGTTTTACAGAAGAAAGCAAAATATTTCTCCATCTGTAGCTTGGTGTAAAGTTTATCTACTCCAACACATGAAGTAAGTCATCATGCCAACAGTATGCCAAGCTGTATTGCCAAGGGTCACAGGTCCCCCCCTTGGAAACCATTGTGTTTTTCACTGCTGCTCTGGGGAGGCAGCCACCAGTCTCTTTCCCAGGCTGGGTTTGCCCTGAGTTTGGGTTGTAAAACAAAGACTGGAAAGCGGGGCTGTAAACTGGAAAAAAGGCAAAATAAGTCATCCCTCAGCTAACAATTCCACCATTTCTCTTTTCATAGCTCATAAAAAAGTCCTGGAAATATTGCCAATTGCATTGCAAATCACCCTGCTTGCTTGATTCTTTAATAAATTTCAAGCAAACTTATCATGAAAATATTAAGCAGTTGAAGTGAGATACGTGTAACATTCTCGAAACAGTAATTCCCCCACATTCTAGGAAAGTCAGAGGTATTTACCCTGCTGGTGAGCTTTTACTCAGCATAAGGAATGATCAAATTATGACCCTTTACTAGTCGTTAGAGAAACCTAAGGCTGTTTATTTTAACTACTACATTAACCAAACATG